TCATAGATTGTGCATAATTAATAATTAAACGGTTTCCGTTGTAATGGGTTGACCTTCCTGAACTGTTCATTATTCACAAGGCAAAGGCATCACTCAAACTTTCTCTTCTCTCCCCCCGCTCTCCCCACTGCCCTTCTCTGTGCTCACTGTACATGCACATTTCAGTTGCTTTTGAGAATCAGGCTGACCAAGCACTTCAAAAGCTGCCGAGGCTTAAACATCGTCCTTCTCTGCATTAGGTCTCACATACGTAAATGTGGTTTTAATACTTAGGACTGTGGAGTGGTTTTGGTACCAAGATGCAGAGGCATGTAAAGTTCTAATGCTAATGGGCAGCTATCTCTCAGGAATGTATTTGTGGCTCTGTTATTAAGCTTGTATCAACCTTCCCATTAATAAGCCTTTCCATTTAGAAGTTGGTAATTTAGAAGAGAAACACAGAACCTCTGGATCAAAACTCTTATGAACTGACCAAAGAATGCCAATTTTTGCTGAAGAATGTAGCAAATTTTTTTGTGGGAAGGGGGTTAAAAATATGTATCCCACCCTTTTAAAAAAAAATTCACTTCAGTTTTTTGGCCTACTATAGAATGAGACTGTTCTTTGGAAGAATGAAATAAGGTTGGCCATTAGATCTCATTGTCAGTGGGCAATTCACTAACATTACTCCACATGTGTGACAATTTTTTATTATGCAGCATGTGCAAACTTTTTTTTGGATGAAGCTCTGGCAGGGATTTGTGAGACTTTGTTTTAGTTCATCCTGTTTTCATCCCCTTAAGAGTTCACGTACATGCCAGTCTGATGAGCTTCAGGACACAACATAAAATGTATTTATTTTGCTTAGTGTTTGGTTGACATTTTGTTTTGTATGCAACAACACAATGATTCCACAAATTTTGGCAGGTAGCAACAGCAACGTTTTAGTAGTAGTTTCGTCTATAGAGTATTTTTAAATTCGTAGCTAAGCACATACAATAAACACATTCTGTAAATAAAAATATTAGCGTTAATATAAGTGTTAGAGATGGATATCATATCTAATGTGTGTGTTCCATCTCCAGCTACTATGATGTCAAAAAAAATGTGTATGCAAGCACGCTCAGTGGCAGATTTTTAACAGTTTACTAAGGAAATGGTTGGATGGAGTGTCTCCTCTTTCAACTCTTTCCAGTGGAGGCTAAGATGTGCTTCTTCCTGGCCTGTCTCATACGTGTAGATTTCAGCGGGTATTTTCAGAAGTGAAATGAAAGTATTAATTTGATGCAGTTAGCATTCTTTGGTGGAATCCTGCATGGTTTAACAAACAAAAATATCATGTCTTCTCCATGCATAGGAACCATTTTTGCTTGTTTGTATCTCAGGGAAGATAAAAGAACAGATTTAATCAAGTTGGCTGGTTGGCAATTCATTAAACATTTTATATCATACTTTATAATGGGGCCTTAGCTCACAGTAAGTTTGATGTAAGAATCTGAATTGAATCCCATAGCAGAATTTAAATATTCTTAATAAACCTCTTCTCAAAAATGATCTCTGACTTACCTAAAATAATCATTTCCAAATGTTCCTTCTTGGTCCTCATCACAAACTGGGTGATGCAACATTTTTCTTCCCTGATGTGCAGATGGTTGAGTTCTTAATACCGATGGCATAAATTTTCAGATGGTTCACAGAACATCACAACTACTGCACTATACCAGTATCATTTAAATTACAGTATGTACTCGGAATATTTTTCGGTCATGGTGATATTTGCTGGCCGTCTGTCTAGGGGTGGGTGTCACCTAGTGATTTTCATTAACACCGGTCCTACAATTAACAGTTAAATGCTTTTGCTGTTTTTTATCTATCTATCTATCTATCTAATCTATCTATCTATCTATCTATTAATCTAATCTAATCTAATCTAATCTAATCTAATCTATCTTGGGTTCTGTTATTTTCACTCCAACTCATCTGAGGAAGTGAGTTTTGCCCGCGAAAGCTCATGATACTCTCTATATTTTTGTTAGTCTCTAAGGTGCCACAGGACTACTCATTTTTAAAGTTGCAGACTAACCCGGCTATCCCTCTGGGACTAGTGACTTCAGTTAGGGCCTGCTCTTGCCTGTTGTGGGTACAGTGTTGGTCATATAATTGCAAGATAAAAAGCGATGCGCTGGACAGAGGTCATTGTTGATAGATGTTCTGCCACCTGGTTGACAAGTTACCTGTGCTCGTTAGCAGAAATGTGCCTTATGGGCTGCGTCTAAGAGCAAAGCTGGAGTTCATTCTCCACCTCCTGCCCTTACCTGTTAGTCTATGCATCTGAGGCTAGAATATTACCTGGGAACTGCTGTGATTGGTGTCCTACCAGCCCCAGGCGTGCAGTGAGAAATTTCCAGTCATTGTGGACAACTCTGCCTCAGTCTTTCGCATTACTCCCACTCAGGTGAAGCTTCCTCTCTCGCTTGGCTGGAGCACAGCAACCTTGTGCTACTTGCTATGTGCTCTGTATAAGGAGCTGCAGGACCAAGACGTTAAGGATGTTGTGGTATTGAGTGCCCTGCAGTTGCAGAATACGGTGTTTCTTATCCTTCTGTTTATCTGCATACACTGAAGTAGAGAGTCAGTCTCCAGTTGTATTGTACAATTCGGTTGATTTTCAATCCACTTTCCGTAATGTAGTTTCACTCTGATGTAGGCAGATCCCTCCTCCTCAACCCCTCCCCCCCATGTGTCTGCAGAAATTATCACCTACCAAATAGGTGTTAAGTGCTGCTTGCCCCTCCTCCACCACCCTGGCGTAAATTGATCCACATTTGCAATTCTCAGAAGATGAGCGTTTTAGATGTTTCCTCGCGTGCACCCAGGTGGTTTTGGCAGTGCTCTCTTCTGATAAAGGGATGGTCCCAGCGCAGAGTTAGCTCCCCAGCTGAAACAAAAAACAGGACTATGTAGCACTTTAAAGACTAACAAGATGGTTTATTAGATGATGAGCTTTCGTGGGCCAGACCCACTTCCTCAGATCTGAGGAAGCTCATCACCTAATAAACCATCTTGTTAGTCTTTAAAGTGCTACATAGTCCTGTTTTTTTGTTTCAGCTAGACTAGACTAACACGGCTACATCTCCATTACTTAGCTCCCCAGGGTATTCTGATGGGATAGCTCCAGCTCCCAGTTTTCAAAGAGTGCTGTGACATATATCCAGCAAACATTTCGTGAGTTGTGTGGATTTATTCTGTGTGAATCTGCCCATCCCATTTTCGGAGAGTGGGCAGGTACCATTTCTAAACTCAGACGCGAGTAGAGGCTTCCACTGGGCAGCAGAAAACCAGGGGAATGTGGAAGTCAACCTGTCTCCCACTCAGCACAAATGAACCTAAAATTTTGCCCTGAATTTTTCGTCTTATGAATGCGTAACTTCTGCATGTGATTCTCAGAACAAGGGAAAGTTTAAAATCACTGCATGTGTCTTCTCTTCTCCACTGGAAGCCTTCCTACATTGATGTCATTTTAAAGTTTAGAAACACTAATCTTTCCTGCCTCTCGGACAAATGCAACAAAGATCTAAGGTGGATGATGTTAAACATTATATACGGTTAATAGAACTCTGAAAATTGTAAAGCAGTTTTGCCTTCTGTTTTACTCTCCATTTACTTTTGATTTAATTGTATTTTCTAGCAGTTTCCTATTGTTTGAATTTGAAACGAAACCTTAATAAGAGTTCTAGTTAATTTTCTGTCTTGTAATTACCTATCTCATTTTTCTGATAATTGGCCACAGCAATTATATGTATATTTACTAATCACATAGGAGGCTCTGCGGTTGTATCTATCTGCCACCATTGATAATGACACACACATTGCAGAGGTGCTTTTATCATCTCTTTTTTCCACTACATCAAAGCTATTTCCCCACATTCTCAATAATGAATACATGCATGCATTTGACACAGTTGTGTGCTAGAGAAATTGTTTGGCTCTCACCAAATGCTGCACGCTCCGAGTTTCTTGCCTGCAGCGCTGGAAGGTTGTATGTAATGATATATTGCTCATCCAAATGGCCAAAGCACTCCAAAGCACAGTGAGATTAAAATAAGTCATTCCTTTGTTAATTTAAATAGGTGCATGTATCATACTTTGCAGGGTACTTTGTGTAGGGATGTCAGGAAGGAAAAAAGCCGCCGAAAGGTATTTTTAATAGCAAATGAGAATAAATGAGAATGGAGTCATTTGCAGCTGCCTGTTTTATGCGACTCTCTTGTTCCAACTGTAGGTCTAATGAGATGACACTGTTAAAGTACTCTGCAGTGTAATTTCATTACATCCTGAGCTGTTACACTATAAACACAGTGGAGCTCTCTGTCATTCTTGGAAAAACTCCTAAATTCGGAAAGTCCTCCTTTGCAAATGGTAATGTTGTTTGCTCTCGGTGTAATTTTTTTTTCTTGCGCTCTTAATTTATTTGCTTTCATAAATACTTGGTGGTTAATTGAGTTAGGCTGGCAAACCTTCCATTGCAATTTCTTCCACTTCTTTTAAGGGTTTTTCTTTTTAATCTGGCAAGAGCTGTGCAGAGAAGGACAGCTCTGAAATGAATAAGTGTAAATAAACATGAGTGTAAATAAAAAGTGAATTCAGTGAAAGAAACAAAGGTCAGCACAAGAATAATTTCACAGCTCTTTGTTAATTACAAGACCATTTGTGTGTTACTTAAATAATCATTAATTT